TTATTTTTTTTTACTTCTAATCTAAAAAATTACATATTTTAGGTTTTATTACTGCTTCTCAATTATTTCAACAACAACAACATTCATTTGAAATAAAAGAAGATTTAACAAATGTTTCATCAAAAATTCCGCAAGTTAATATTGAAAATGTTAATATTAAAAATTGCAATAATGTTAAAGTAGAGGTTATTTTTAAAGCACTAGAATAGATAAAACAGATAATATCGGCAATAATGTAAATTTATATAACTATAATAAACAAAATAATTTGAAGTTTATGAAAAAGTTTATTACTGTGAAAAAAACAGTCTAAAAATATCCCGGAGAAAAAACATTTATTTTTATCATTAGGGAAATTACGATATTCTACATCACAAGTCACACTTAGTGCGACGGGGTATAATTAAAGCAATTATTTAATTAAACTTTTAGTTTTATTAATAATAACCTATTTATGTTTTATTTTATTAATATTTTTTTTTTAATAATATTACAAATAAATTTATCTATTAAGTAAAATCAAAAATAACATTTATATTCATTATAACTAATATAAACTTTTAATTTTTAATAAAGTAGTTTTTTATATATATAAAATAAAACTAACTAATATATTACTAAAATATTATTCAATAAATTTTCTATAAATAAAATTTTATATTAAAAATATAAACATTTTTACAGTAAAAAGTTGTATCCAATTCAATTTACTGGTCTAAATCAAAAAAAAATCAGGTATATGATAAATAGTTTTCAAATATAGTTATCAATAAGACAAAAATAACCAAATCAACATTTTTAATTTATGGTCAAATGTAAGTGAATCAAAAATAAACTCTGATTGGTTCAATCAAATAATGCAAAAATTGTTTGATTAAATTGTATTTATTGAATAATCAAAAAAATCATTCAATAAGAATAATTTAAAAAATCATCTTAAAAAATGATAGATTATCATCCTTTTTAAATAATTAAAATAATTTATTTAGGATGATGTATCATTTGTATTAAATGATTTAAAAAATTGTTTCTAAGTGATGATAAATCATCATTTAATAAAAACGATTTAAATGAAAAATCATTCATTTAGAATGATAAATTAGCATTTTTATTAAATGATTTAAAAGTAAAGTCATCATTTAATAACATAAATTATCATTTTAATAATTAAAAAATCATTTTAAAGGAATGATACATCATTATTTTATTAGAATAATTTAAATGAAAAATTATCTTTTAAGATAATATATTATTATTCTAATTGAACTATTAAAAAGTAATTATTTTGTTAGGATGATAAATTTTTATTTTATAAGAATAATAAAAATCATTTCAAAAAAATAGTAATTATTATATAAGATTAATAAAAAATTATTTCAAAAAAATGGTAATCATTCTATAAAAACATAAAAAATCATTTTAAAAAAAATAGTAATCATTCAATAAGAATGATAAAATCATTCTAATTGAATAATAAATTGTTTAATTAGTAAATCGTTCAATTAGTATGAGTTTTAATAAAATGAAATTTCAGATTCATCTAAAATTTTCAATTCAATTTAAAATAAAAATCTGATAAACTTTTTGTTTTTTACAGGTAATTTCATAATTCATAGACTATTAATAATTTTTTAATTGCATTCAGTAACAATATTTTATAGTAATTTTATTATCAGTCACATTCAGTCACAATTTATTAGTAATCTATAAATTATGAAATTAGCTATAAAAAAATTCTATTTTAGAATTAAGATAAATAAATCAAAAATGATTTTTTGAATAGAAATTTTGCATTTTCTTTTTTTTATTTTAGAAAAATTATTATTTTGAAATTAAAATAAGTAAACTAAAAGTAACTTTTAAATAAAAATTTACTATTTTTCTTTTTTTTTTTAGAAAAATTATCATCATAGAATTAAGATAAGTAAATTAAAAGTGAATTTTTAGTGAAAATTTACTATTTTTCTTTTTTTTTTTTATGTATAAAAGAGATTATATTGATTGTAAATTTCATTTAAAAAATTTCTCATTTTAAAATTAAAACAAAAAGTGATTTCTATATGGATTTTCTTTATTTTCTTTAAAATTTACTATAATAAGTCAACTAAAAATAATTTTATGGATTTTTAAACTTATTCTTTAATTTTACTTTATTTTTTTTATAAATATATTCTTATCTTTTAAAAATAATAAATTTTAAATAAATATAAATTTTTATTTTTAGTTTTAATTTGCTTAAGCTAGGCTAATTGATAGCTTAATTTAAGTAGTTTTTAGGTTATTTTTAGGCTAATTTTAGATAGTCAATTGATAACTAATTATTGATTTTGATTTTATTAATCAGAATTGATATTAATTAGCCATAAATCAGCTATAAATAATCAATTAATCGTCTATTCAATTTTTAGCTGATTTGAATCTATTTTAATCTGATAGATTAAATTAAATCAGATTTATCAAATTTGAATCAGATTCAATTTTAAATTAAAATTAAATTAATTCATCAGATTCAGATTTAGATTTGATATACTGTAATCTGACAGATTTGAATTTAATTTATTATATTAAAATAAAAACAATCACATTTAAATAAAGTTTTATTATTAATAAATAATAAAGATTTTAATAATAAATTTATTTCAAAGTGATTTTATTGTCTTTTTTTAATAATAAAAATCCATTTCACAAATTTTAAATAGTATTTATTAAATAATAATAAATATAAATTTAGATTTATTAGATTCAGATCAGATTCAAATTCAGATTCAGATTTAGATTCAGATTTTTAGATCAGATTTTGTTTAAATCTAATCTGATTAATATGTAAAATACTAGTAAAAAAAGAAAAATTATTAAAAAAACTTTACTTTATTTATTAATTAGAATGAATGGTAAAGTAAAATTTAATATAAATTTTTTAAAAAATTTTATAAAGTTTATTTTATTTATAAATTAAAAATATTTATAAATATGGGAGCTTTACAATAGAAAGGGAGGAAACTCTAAAAAATTTTTTTTTAAGTTAATGTTAAATCTGAAATTATTTTACAAAAAAAATCATAATTAGCTTAGAAAGTAAAATTTTAAATTTTTTTAGAGTTTCCTCCCTTTCTATTGTAAAGCTCCCATATAGTTTTCAGTGAAAATAATGGTGAAGATAGTTTTGTCATATATATAAACTTTATTTTTAATGTTAATTTTTTTATTTAAAAGAATAATACTAATGGAACAATTTTTAATAATTAATTAATATTTTATATGCTTTTCTTCTGCATTAATACATGCTTGAATTCAATTCGGCAAGCTATTAATGTATTGAAGTAATACACTGTTATTGAGATCATTCTATTCCTGTCAGATTACATTAAGAAAAACATCAAAGGTAATTTTTTTTTGCCACTATATTCTTAATTCTTTTTCTACCTTTCTCTTTAATACAACCTATACATTTTTGATAGAGTTCAAGTCTGGATTATACGAAGACTAAGGAAGAATTTTTCTCAAAAGATATTTTTTCAAGTTACGCTAAATGTTTTGTAAGTGATATTTAGATCATTATCTTATTGGAAAACCCAATTGCGACTGAGTAATGTTGTCATATTATTATACAAATAATCACCTAGAATATTTTAGTACAAATAACAGTCCAGATTTTTAGTAAACAAATGAATGTTAACTTTTCCTTTGACACTAATCGTTGCTCAAACATGAATCTTGAATGAATATCTATCATAGAGGCAATTGGTTATACATTATAGAATTATGTATGAATAGTATTTCTAAATATTTAGAGTGTTATATAATCAGAAAAATAACTTTCTTGCAATTGTAACGCAAATGGTCACATGATCAAATCAATCTAATATCTTTCACTTTTGGATTAAGAGAAGAACTTTTCTTAGAATAACAAAAATATATCCAAGAGTTTTAAGTTCATGACATACTGTACGTTCACTAACTTTAAGTTCAGAATCTTTTTTTTCTAATTTAGCCTTAAGTTTACTTATAGTAGTGAAATAGTTGTGTTTTAAAATTTTTCAATATAGTAGCATTAGTTTGAAAATTTTCTTAGGCAATTAAAAGAATAATTGATAGTAATATTAGTAGTTTTACGTAGTAAACTGACATATCATTCATATATACGTAATAAATATACATTCATTTATGAATTTTATTTACATTACGTATATTTTAATATTAGAGAAACTTAACAGTGTTTTATTAAATTTCAAGAGAGCTTAGCATTTTTTCGGTTAAAAAATCAAACAAAAAACAAAAACAAACCTTATTTTTTTAAACTTACCTTTTATATTATAATTCTAGTGTCTAATTAAATCATATAAATAATGGCTCATATTATTAACGCAGTTTATGTTTTAGCTTAAAATAGATGTGATATTTCTACCGCTATTCTTTTCGCTGAGAACTGTAATTAATAAATAAATTAGTTTTAATAATAAAAATATAAATTGAATAATTTTTGATTTAGTTCATAATTTATCAATTAAAAATTATTATTTAATTAATTATATTAATTTTATAAATTTTAAATTTTATAACTAATTTTTTAATCTTAAAAGTTTTATATAAAATAAAATTATATTTAAATTATTTCTTATAAAATATTTATTTTATTTAAATTGAATAAATTATTATAAATAATATAATTTTTTTATATATTTAATATAAAATAAATTTTTATTAATAAATTTTTAAAATTTTTATACTTTTTATAATTTAATATAAAAGAAGAATTTTAAATAATATTAATTTGTTATTAATTTTATTAATTTTATTATAATTATTTAATTATTATATTTTTAGAATTTAATTTTATTAAATTTAAATCTTAAAATATAATAAAATTATAATTTTAATATTTATATTATATTAATAATTTAAATATTAAATTTTAAATAGAAATTAATATATATTTTTTATATTATTTAAAAAAATAAAAAAAAATATTTATGAAGAATATTAATTATTTATATAATATAATTATTATAAAATCTATTTTTGTTATATTAAAAATTTAATTTAAATATTAATGATTTTTTTGATTAAAGATATAATTTAACTATATTTTAAATATATATAATTTAAAAATAAAAAAATAAATAATATTTTTAATAATTACTTATAATAGTAAATATATTATTCTATATTATTATTAATAAAATAATATTATATTAATATTAATTTAATATCAAAAAAATAATTAAAACAGATTTTAAGAATTTTTACATTAAATTTCAAAATTTTATCTAGATACTGATTTTATAAGTATAATTTTATATATTCTTAAGGCAAACTTATACTTATATAATTTTTAATATTATTATATATATAAATATATAGTTATTTTTATAATAATTAATAATTATTTTTATTTAATATTTATAATATTTAATAATTATAAGAAAGAATTTATTTTTAATTAAATTTGAAATATATTCAAAATATTCAAAAGTATTAAAAGTATTATTTTTATTATAATTTACTAATATATAAAATAAACTTAATTTTAAAATAAATTAAAAAAAGAAATTTGCATTATAGATAACAAGTACATTTTTTTGCAAAACTTATTATAATAAAAATATTTTAATAAAAAGTAAATTTTGTTATATAATATGTATTTGAAATTAATAATTAGCAAATTTAATAAATGAATTATTAAAGTTTAAATCTAAATAATGATATTATTAAAGAATATATCAAGGTAAACAAAATATATAGTACTAGAAATTTTAGACAAAGAGATTTGAATAATAAATCTTTAACTGTGATGAGATAAGTAATTATATATTTTTTTTTTTAAAATCAAGATATAACTTTTAATAACTATTTATTTTAGAATTTATTAATTTTAAGAACAAATTATTTCAAAAAAATAAAATAAAATAAAAAAAAAAAAACCTAAAGAATATGTCCTTATATATAATTATTTATATTTATACTATATACTAAAATACAAATAAATATATTTAAATATGGATTAAATGTATTCAACATAATTTAAAAACTATCTCATAAACAAACAAAATAGAATTCTTTCTTAACGATCAAAATAATTCTTTCAAATGAAAGTATAGGTCTTTATTCTCTTTATTAATAAACCGCTTGATAGTTTTATGCAAGTGACGTATTATCAATAATTCATTTTTAGTTTAAAGAAAACCCGTTCCAACAATTTGCGAAACCTTACTAAAATATTTTATGGTCTAATCATCGGGTTGGGACTCTTTAATCAATCGCAACTCACCAAGTCTTTTTGTTGCTTTCTCTAAAATCGGTTCACATCCCTCTTTGGCTTTTTCGTAAACTGCTTCTGTTTTATTAATGACTTCATAACCTTCTTCTTGGGCAAGATTTCACTATCACTACCATCACCATTTTCAATTATTACTTCAATTTCCTCTAAATGACTCTACATAATGAATTAAATCAACCAGTTCTTGTTGTATTTGCAACTGTGAGATCGTTTGTAATTCCCGTAATTGACGACCAAGCGAAAAGAAAAGCTGCTGAACTTGCTAGACTGATGGTCGTCTACTTAGAAACGGTGCTGACTGGTCATCATAGATCGCTTTAAAATAAAAATCTCTCGATGATTTCCATGCTTTCTTTCATAGTTTTTATATTTTCAAAGTATTCCTTTTCGGTCAAATTCTTGGTAAAGGTAACGCTACCCAAACCGATGATAACGCTGGCTAATAAATTTAACATAATAACTTTTTTTTTTACATAAGTTCTTAGTATCGTTTTAAATTTCGCGAAAAATTTCCTTTTTAATTCTTTTTAATTAACTGAAATAGTGGTAGGACAAATAATGTACAATGATATCATACAAAGTTTATGATTCCGATACACAACATGGAAGGTAGTCATATCGGCGTTTGTACATCTGCAATTTCATTTCGTGAAACAAACTTAAATTTATAAAAAATATAAATAAAGCTTAAAGAAATCAACATGTTAAAAAAAAGGGGCTTAATTTTACAATTCTTGTCGAAAAAAAAATATGAAATTTCCTATACGAGATTCGCAACATTCGTATTTTAATCTTCATTATTTGGAATGTTATATTAATATATAATCATATCATAAATGCATTTCCGTTACGAGTGGGAATCATTTGAGAATCCGACATCTCTTGTACTTGTGCCATAGAACATGAATATAAAAAAAAAATATTATTGTTATATATTGGAATTTTCTTAAATAAGATTGGTAGTAGGAAAGTTATGTATTTTATTAACAAAAGTTAGAAAAAAATTTTTTAAGAAATACAAAAAAATGATTTATGCAGTCAACCCAGTTCAGCAAAAAAAAAAGAAAAAGTGATGAAACATATAAAATCATGTACTCCCTCTACCTAAACGAAATCCATCCCATCCCTCCCAATCATCAAAATAGAATCAATTTTTAGTAATCACTCATTTGTATTTGGTCTTCTTCAAAATTTTGCGTGTAAAGTTCATTAAAGAGTGGCAAATTCAACATATCATGAGGTGAGCCATACCAGTCCAATTGATTTATGACAGGAACAGGAGTTTGTATCATTTGTGTCGGAATATTATGATCGTAATGCATATAACCTTTAAGAAAAATAAAAAATAAAATTAAAACAAAAAACAGTAGTCACATGTATATAACTTATGAATAGAATAAATAAAAAAAAGATATGAAATTGACATCATCATACCTAACAAACTTTCATTTTCACCCATAGCATAAGAACTTATTTCAGACAAGGTATCTAGAGTAACTTCAGGTTGAAAAGTTGAAATATGATCCAGTGACACACATTCAGTTGTATTTACTCGAGGAATACATGAAATAAAATTAAGAGCTTTCGGCAATAAATCTTTGTAACCTATAAAAATATTTTCATACTCTTCTTTAATCTCTCTTGAAGATATATTCCAGAGCAGGGAAAAGTCTTTAAAAGATTCAGAGTGTTGACGAAACTTTTTATTCATTTTTGCAACCTTAAATGCTTCACTACAATCAATTTTAAAGATCATAAAACTATTTTTTAAGCTTTTGTAATTGCGTTCATTGCCTCGATCAATAATTTCTTTAGGATTAGAAATCAATACTTTAAAATATGTATGATTGTCAACATCGAGTGCAAGAAGATGTAACCTAGTAGAGGGGTCTTTCCTATGTAAAAACAATTGCACTTTTGATAAACTCATGATAAATAAGCTTATCAAATAGTTTTGAAATTTTTTGAATATAAGCCAATAAATATTAGGTCTATATATATACACAAAATAATAGAAAAATAAACCTTATTTTGTTAAAATTAAGAATGTAGAAGTAATTTGAAATTCTTAAATGATTACTAATTAGTATTATTAATAGATAAATTTTCGTTACCAACCATTTATGAAAAAACAAGCTATAGAGGACTTCTATTGCAAGAATGGTTTCTTATGATTCTTTTTGTATAATTGCCTAAAATAGACATGTAAAAACCCATATTTGTTAAAAACAAGCAATAAGAAACTTATGATCTTTCTTTGAATAATTGCCAAAAATAGGCATGTTAAATACATTTTTGTATAAAGCAAGCTATAGAAGAACTTCTATTGCAAGGATGGTTTCTTATGATCTTTCATTGAATAATTGCCAAAATAGGCATGTTAAGCTCAATGACAAACAAATATGGGCGCGATCTATGGAAATCTTTTGCCATCAACCAAATATTTTTATATTTTTTATTTTACATCCAACTTTTTTATGTAATTTTAATATAAATAGGAGGATAAATTTAAAATATTTTATGAAACAGCCACAGTCCACTCACTACCTTGATTATGTCTTCTCTAACCCAATGTTTCTTTGAGGCTATTCCAAGTCGAATAATTATTTTAAAACCAGATTATGAATTTTTGATGTGGGAACTTCCCACGGAAGAAAGAAAGCATTTTCCATCCCACCAAGAAGCATTGAATCCTTTCCAACTTTTTAGAAAACATTACTTGGAGGCAATGTATAAACCTTACAGAAATGATGATGCAGAAATTATTGAAGCCTGGTGTTGTTCCGATAAGCAAGTTCATGAAGTATACGGAAATATTTGTTCGCAAATGCGGTTAAGATATTTTAACCCATTTGAACTCGAACATAAGCTTTTAAATAAGGTAATCACACAAATACATAATACATGTGCTGAAAATATCAAACAAATGAAAATAAAAAGATTGATTAATTTATTTTTATTATTTCTAGATTAAATTAAATAAATTTGATCGTAAAAATTATGGAATTGTCCGACATAATTTAGGATCAGAATATAAAGAAGCGGCTTATAGAAAATTGACAGTTGGAATTGTGGGCAATAAACGACTAATAAATGTTATTTATCAGCTTAAAATCACTGTAGTTTTCGCCGACGGTAAAATGATTTTAGGTTTAATTGAACTTGAGGTTCCAATTCTACCAACGATATTAGATTTGAAAATATTGGTAGTTGTAATCGCACTCTCCATGTTTGAACGTTTGTGAAAATACGAAAGAAATCTTTCAGTAGGAAGAAATCTTCTATTTCAAGTTGTAATCTTTTATTGTATAGTATATTAAGTTTTAATATTTTATTTTGATTAAGTAAATAACAATTCTTTGTGACAAAAAAAATTTTTTTTTGTATCTGTTCGCCCCTAAAATGTTTTTATTTTGTTCCTAAATTAGAATTTCATTTATTTAACAGAATTTTTAAATCATAAAAAAAGTAATTAAAAATAAATTTTTTATTAAACCAGAATTCGATATAGTATATGAAGTCAGAACGATTTGATTCGATCATAACACGTAAAACCTTTTTTATAAAAAAAAAATTATATAAATTCTTCAAAAAACTTTAAGATTTTATGGAGACCTCTCTCTTTCCGACTGGAATGATGGATTTGTAATCTTTTAAAAAAATTATGATTTCGTGAAATGAAATTATAAATAAAATATATAAGCGAGATTTTAGCTCAAACGCCTCTCATCAATAAAAAATTTGGTTTTATGATTAGGTGTTCGAAACTAACGATCAAAATATCGTTGAAAAATATGTGGTGGAAACCATGGGTAAATGTATAGATCAAACTATCCATCTTTACTTTGAACTTTGTATTGTGACCAAAATTCAATTAATTCTGATACCTAAATCCACCATTAAACGTCAAATCACATTTAACATAAATCTTACTTTTCTAGAATTTTTCACAAAAATCATTATCAAAAACGCGAAAATATAGAAATAATAATTAAAATAATTATTGTACATATATTCTAGATAATTAAGACAGTAACTTTTATTAATAGACCCCGAAACGCGAAAACTAATGAATACTTATATAATAATTAATTGGTATGGTATAAGAGATTTTTATTTAGTACCAAATAATTTTAGGATGCATGTAGGAGAACGTTTGTCGGGCAGTTCCAGATAGCGAGCCGACAGATTTTGATAGGATAAATTAGTTTATTAAAGGTCATGAAACTTAAAAAATGAAAATTGCCTAAATCCATCCCAAATAGACAATTTTTTACATATTAACTATATTACTTAATTTTTATATATTTATAAATTTAGGTAAAATGACTAAAATGGAAATGCGAATCATTTAAAGATATATATACTCGAGATTTCAATTTCCAACATTTAAAATTAATAAAATCCGACAATTCTTCAAGTTCCCTCCCACCTTTTGCTTTCATTGAATGATACAAAAACTTGTAGTATCGGGTCGGCCATAAAATAAATGAGATGGTGATGCATTTTTAAAAAATGAAAGGTTTATAAGATGATTGAGATTTCATACAAAAAAACAAACAGTGCAATATTACTTCTTAATGGAATGAGAGAAATATTAAGTTCCGTACTATTACTACTACGAATTTGTTCAGCACTTCAATGTTAAATCAAAGAATGTGATAGCTAAACTTGTTATTGAAAATGTGTTCATCAGGGAAATTTTTTACTAGGTTTTGATCGTTCGGATTTTTGATAGGGTTTTGACTCGGTGATTATTGTCTAATTAAATTGTGACCTGATCAATAACCTGAACTTTTCGAACTAAAAAAAAAGTGGTTTTTTTTTGATCATTTTGCTAACGTCTTTTAAATTATTAATGAACATGCAATCTAACGAAAGAACTTCGACTAAACGTATTTACCCTTCTGATTCTTATAATATTACGCGTTCAACTTGTATTTTAAAGAAAAAAAATAATAAAAATTTTGCGATCAACTAACTCCCAAAGTTTATAAGTAAATTTTCACCTCCACGTGATCGGTGACATTAAGGGGGGGGGGAACAAAAATTTTTTTAGTGGTGGTGAAATACATAGTAAAAATGAAAAGGAGGCGCTTATATTAAAATTATATTAGCTAATAAATGTCAGCGCCCTTATCGTTCTAATTATTTAAAATTTATTTGAATAAAAAAAGGAAGCCAAAGTTTAAAATTACTATTTAGAGAAAACATCTGATTGGTCAGATCTTACCGTTACATAAAGATCTATCAAACCTATTTTTTTTTTTTTTTTTTTTTTTTTTAGAAATATAAAGACAAATTGTAAAACCCAAATCATGAAAATTCCTATTAATTCACTCCTAAAAAAATATATAAAATATATATAAAGAATTTATTAAAAACATTTTCGCAACGCACCACCGCCTAAGAAGCCTTTAACAATATCAAATGTCGATTCGTTCCTTATATTCAGTTTTTGAATTGGAAACAATTTTTAAATTAACTAGTTGTAATTTAATTTAAAATCGAACCTGAGGACAGGTCATTAACTCAGAATTACGAATATCAACCTTTTCATATAAAATTTTTTCGTCTACCGAACAGCAGAACCGCCCTTATCAGACGAATCATACCGGATTTCCCTATCGTCTTATAACGTCCGGATATATAGTCCAAAAACATTAAATAAATATAAAACCTAATTTTAATTATTAATATTTGTTGATTTAAAATATATTTTAATAAAGATAAGAGTTGTCGATATATAAATAAATGTAAGGTTTGGGTTGACTAGATTATTTGAACTGAACCAACTACTAGAAACGAATGTGATAAATTTGTATTATGAAATAAAAAATGACTAATATCATATATTATAATTGTACAAGAAAAAAAAAAGATAAGATAATAATATCCAATCAAAGAATAATTTAGAATCATTCTTCAAACTGTTACTTTTGTGGTTACAATTTCACCATCAGATATTGATTGTGATTTACTATGTCTCGTAACCTAATTTTAATAGCAAACGACCCATATCATTGTAAATAAAAAAGACAATAAAGATAATATTCCCAATCCGGCAGAATATAATATGATTCATTCGGTATGATTTGATGTGAACTTGCACTTGTTGTAGCTAAATCATCAATGGATGTTTCTGTTGAATAAGACGATCCATGATCTTTATAAATAAATAAACTTAGTATATCGATAACAATGCAAGGTGATGACCTTATGTAAATGGTTAAATATTTTTCACTCACCAAAGCCAGTGGAATCCAACTGTTGAAATACTTCGGATGAATAAGTTGGATCATTATTAAGCGGAACAATAATTTGTTCTGTATTTTCAATTTGTTCGTTGTCATTCTCATTTTCCTCATTTGTACGATCTTGAGGAAGGTATTGAACAAAAGAATGAATTTTGGGCATTAATTTTTTATAACCCATAAAAACCTTTTCGTATACTGCCTTAACTTCTTTTGGAGAGTTCCGCCAAAGTGATGGGGGCTTTTTAAAATCAGCAATTTGACGAAGTTTTTTATTAGTTTTTACAGCAGCATTGAATGCTTCGCGACTATTGATCATAAAGATCATGTATCCATTTTTTAAGTCCTTATATTCACGACGCATAATTTCCTCGGGAGAGGAAATTTTGATATTCAAAAACAATTGCGTTTGAAGATCAAGAATGAAGACATACGGACTTTTATCGTCTAAAACGTATTTTAATTTTGATAACGGTATTGTTCTTGACAAAGGTTCCGACATTTTTTTTTAACGGGTTTTATTTTTTTTCGGAACGAGTACTTTTTTTTTAACGGGATAGAATATCTTTTTTATTAAGGTAAAAAATCACGAATTTCAGCTTAATATATAATGTAAAGGTGCCTCGATAATTTGTCAATCTCAAGCTATTAGCATTTTTAATGTTTTCCATTGATATAACGGTTGTTAAGTTTAAACTATTATATGACATTGAAGGAGTACCTAATATAGAATTATTAAACTTATATACGAAATGTAAGGTAATAGAAATTTTGTTCTTTTCTTATATAACTGAATTTTTTTTTTTTTTGATCGGGACATTCATTCTTCATTGAAAAAAATACCTAATATAGTATGTTTTCTATGAAATATATCCCCCCTTTGTTGAAATAAATTAGGAAGTTTAAGGTACTAGAAAAATTTTTCTTTTCTTATATTACTAAATTGATTTATTTCGGTTTTTTTAATCTCTTCATTAAATAAATGCCTAATCTAGAATTTTATCTATGAAATGTACAGTATCTATTAAGGAAAGAGTAAGGTATTAGAAAATTAATTCTTTTATTAAATAGGTGAATTAATTTTTTTTTTATCGAGATATTCTCATTGAAAGAATGTATAATCTTTTCTATGAAATCAAATTAGGAAACGTAAGGTATTGGAAATTTTAATCTTTTCCGATATAGTTGAATTGATTATTTTATATTAAGACATCAATCTTTCATTGAAGAATGCCTTATATAGAAAAGATCTAATGTAATTTATCCATTTATTTTAAATCAATGTACTAGGAATTTAACCTTTTTGTATTTGCCTTGATAATAATACCTAATCTAGAATCACCCCTTTTTGCCAAATCAAAATGTATTATTGGTTAAGATTTTCATTGACATGATGAATTTGTAAATCCTTTTAAGAAATTATGATTTTGATTAAAAAAAACTCGTATATGAAATTATAAAAAATATATAAGCGAGATTTTTTACCCCAACTTTCCGTAAAATATAAAAAATTTGAGAATAATTATGGTCCGGTGTTTATTAAATATCGAAACTAACGAAAGTAACTTTGAAAAATATGTGGTGGTGCTTAAATCAAACCATGAATTCCTGATGTGGTCACCATCCTCTTCATCAATTGAAAAAAATATTCGACATACCTCAAGAAACTTGATAGATATGATCTCTTTTCATATTTTCAAGCAACATTACTTGGAAGCTATGAATCATAAAGGCATTGATGATAAAAAATTTAATCACGTCCATAAAGAAATTGTCGAAGCTTGGAAAAATGCAGATAAAGAAGTTATCGAAGAATACAGAAACCTTTCTCTAAATCATTACAATTATGTTATCAATTTCGCACAAGATTTAATTTTAAGATCCACTCAAAATAGAATAAGTAAACCCGACGGTTTTGGTTTATATGTCATAATTTTTATTATTTTTTATTTTATTATTATAACTTCTTTTTATGGTGCGATGTTATTCTATATAATGTTTCAGCATCCCATATATTTTTTCTTAATTCATTAGATGGGTTCTTAATAATAAATTATTCACCACTATCCTCCTTTATCTATTTATTTAAATTCTTATTTTTTTATTTATTTAGAAGTAGTCTTTGTATTAGACTTCAATTGATTTAGTGATTTAGCGTACGGGAAATAAATCTTTATTTATCAAATTGAATATTTTAACTTGATTTTTATACAACGAAAAAAAAACAACGAGCACATTTTTGATTTTGTAATTCTAACTCGTTTATCAAGAATTTCAATAAAAACATTACAGACGGTCTCAAGAATTAAACTAATACTGTCATCATTAGGTGTAAAATTCGGAGAGTTGATATGATCTCATGATTACTGCGCTCAAAATGAATAAAGAACACATATATTCAAAGAAATAGACAAATAATTTTTTTTTTGTGTAAGTAATACTCACTTTTTTTTAATTCAAACAATTTTTCTCCTTTTACAACGATAATTTCATGAGTTAATGTCATGTATAATTCAAACTATCAAATTTTTACGATGGATTCTTTGTGTTAGCATTTACGACCAAATTCAATTAATTCTGATACCAAAATCATTATTATTCTCCACCATTAAACGTCAAATCTCATTTTTAACATAAATCTTATTTTCTAGACTTTATCACAAAAAAAAATCATTATCAAAAATTCGAAAACATAGAAATAATAATTGCGATGTGCAATATCGAAAGCATAAATGACGTACGTGTTGTTTTTACAAAATAATTTTAGGTTGCGTGAACGCCGAAGAGCCATAAGATATATTAGTTTCTTAAAGGTCATGAAACTCTAATTCAATAGGAATAATCTCTTTAAACATTGTTATATTATTGCCTCTGCAATAGAAAAAGACCAATAAAAATAAAAAAAAAAATGAGAATTGACTAAATCTGAGGCCGAAGCCCTATTTGACAAAACAA